TTATCATCAGGACCTCAGAAAACATTCATACCAGTTTTTCCCATTTCCATTTCCCATGCCATTGTTAGGCAGATTTTTTAACTACCTTGTCTTTAAACTTTCCAAAGAGTGTTTTATTTTTTTTCTCCAACAGTCAATATTTATTTCATTTTACCTATATATAAAAAAATTTCTTTTCCACCATAGTTTTTGTATTCACTTTGTTGTTGGGTTTTCTCCCCTTTTTTTGTACCAGAAATCGAACTCAGGACCTTGCACTTACTTGCCAGGCAAGCACTGTGCCACTGAGCTATATCTCGGGCTGGGTTTTCTTCTTAATGAAGTGCATAGTACAGGTCATTGTTCTCAGTGCACCAGCATCATCTGAGAACTTGTCCGAAATGCAAGTTTTCAGGCTCTGGCCCAGACCTGAATTAACAGCTCTGAGGGGGCGTGGACACCAGTCTGTGTTTTACCAGGTCTTCTCAAAGACTCTGATGTCCACCAAGGCTGAGAATGGTCCCTCTTAGTCTTCAACTCTAAATGTCTAATTATACTCTCCATTAAATGTTAAGTTCGATGGGTTAAGAATTCTGAGTTAGTTTCCTTCGGTACTTTGGAGACAGTTTTAGGTGTCTTCTGGCCTCCATAACCGAAAGTGAGACATTTGCTATCCCAGTTGTCATTTCTAGTGGCTAAATCTTTTTTCTGATGGTTTTGAATTTTTTGTCTGTGTCTTTCGTGTTCTGCAGTTTCACTGTCATGTATGTATATGTGGCTTTCTCTTTGTTTATCCTGCTTCAAACTCAAGATTCTTTGGTATGGAGATCATCCCTTTCCTCTGATGTGGAAAATTCTTAGCTGTTATTTCTTCACATATTACATCTTTCCCACTCTGATTGTCTGGCTTTTTAACTCTGCGCATTTGGTTCATTTTCTGTCTAATCTCTTTACTGTCCCTCTCATTCTGTTCTCTTCCTCCTTGTCCTCTACCTCTTCCTCCTCCTCCTCTTTGTGCCTCTGTCTCTCTGGCTCACTCTGTCTCATGCATGCACACGTGCTGCTATACAGGGAGCTCTTACTCAGTTCTACTAGTTAATTCTTAAGGGTTTTTTTAATAATCTGCTCTATTCATTTTATCTGTTATTCCAGTGAGTATGTTTAAATTTCTATTTAGTTTTTTAAATGTTGCTTTGTGTTAGGCATGCTATCATTCTTTTATCATTCTTTCATCTCTTACCACTTTATTTTGTTTTTGTTTTGTTTTTTTTTTTGTTTTTGTTTTTGTTTTTCTCCGCTACCGGGAACCGAACTCACGACCTTGCGCTTGCCAGGCAGGCGCTTTTGCCACTGAGCTAAAACCCCAGCCCCTCTTACCACTTTAAAAACACTTGTAGCCTCTTTCAGGTTATTCTGTTACCTCTAGTCCTAAAGTATTAAATCTTCTCCTTTAATGTCTGTAAAGTCTCCTTAATGGTGATTTATTACTGGTTCAGTTTAACATGTGAGACTGTGTGTGTGTGTGTGTGTGTGTGTGTGTGTGTGTGTGTGTGTATTCATCTTCATTGACTTACTGTGGGGCTTATATAAGTCCTGACTTGTGTTTATTGTGAACTTAGCCTGGGTACATGCCACTTATGATAACTGTGGGCCTCATACCCCTTTGACATAGGCTTGACCTGTGGATTTATTACAAGTCTGTGGGTTTGTTGTTTTTTTCTCCCCCGTTTATGATCCTAGATGAAAGGTCAACCTCCTTGCAGGGCGCTTTGGTAGAGTTTTGTTGTCCCCTGTCAGATGTCAGGGTCTCGGCAGAGGATTCTGAACAATTTCTGTATCTCTGTGGGGCAGCACTTATGTCTAGATACAGTGCCCACTTATTTCTCTAATTGTGAGTCTTCCTGCTTATCTAGTACCTATAGTTTTTTCTCTTTTGCCCAAATTTTGAAAATATTAGCTCTAGCCAGACATAGAGGCACATGCTTATAACCCCAGCACTCAGGAGGCTGAAATAGGAGGATGATGAGTTCAAGGTCAGCCTGGGCTGCATAGCAAGACCCTATCTCAGAATAGAGGCAGATAGATATATAGATAGATAGATAGACAGACAGACAGACAGATCAATCCAACACTTTTACATATTTTTAAGAAGCGGAATGCTTTCTTGGCGGCTGAATACAGCATTGCTGTAAGTCAGTGTGCTTTCTCTATGACAGATGCCGTCCTTAGTAGTACCTTTGAGTGCTGACTGGGCATGCTGTTAGAATGCAAACCGGCTCGTGCTTGTGTAACACTTTGTACTTTTCCAAGAACTTCTTAATCAGCTGATTTAAAACCCCCAGGAATCCTCTCAGAAAGACAGGGAAGATGTTATTATGCTTAATTTTTCAAAGGCTCTGGAATGAAGTGTCAGATAGGCCTGGAACCCAGATGTACTGGCATCAGTGATGTCTCCACACTAGACAGAAGCCCTTCTCTCCCAGGAGTGCAGCCTCACCTGGTTAAAAGCGCACAGGGCATTTAGAACTGACCCGCACAATAAGGCAGGCTGCACTGTGAACAGAGGGAGAGTGTATTCAGTACTCAACTAAGTGCTTTAATTTCCAGATGTGTTCATTTGTCAAATAGGTTTATTTTACAAGTTAACTCCTATGTGAGAAAATGAGATGCCAGATTTTCAAAAGAAAACAACCTTGGTGTGTGATACAAGAAACGTAAGTGTAATGCTCTTCAGAAGATTCAGTGGTCCTCTTTTCAGGAGGAGAATGTGAAAACTTACTTTGCTTACTCCATCCTGAGAACTACATGTAGAGAGGAAAGACAGCAACTACTAACGGAAAATAATGATTGTTCAGCTTCCGTGTATCAGTCCCCCAGAAAGGCACATCTCCATCTACATCTAGTTGGCACTAGATGTACATAAAGTTACACTAGATGTACATAAAGGTACATCTAGTTGGCACTAGATGTACATAAAGGTACAGAGGTTGCGAGGTAGGCAAAAGAATGGATGTCATAGGCTAGGGGCAACATTTTAAAATCTATTCCTTGGGAAATCTGTTGCTTAAGACTGTTGAACTTGCATGTGCAGTGATGATTACCCTAACAGGTAATAGTCTCCTTAGAATCCAGATCTTCTAAAGCTGACATAAGAGAGTAGAAGGCAATCATTATTTTCAGATTAATTCCCTTGTATCACAGTTCATCCTAGCGGAAGGCATCAACTGAAACACTTTCTGTCCTTGGGACTTGGCACTGACTCTCCTGGTTGTTTCCCTCTGTCTCTCTGGTTTCTATTGAGAGATCCTTGCTAAAGCTGCTTTCCCTGACCACCTCACATAAAGCCACTCCCCCAAACCTGCACTGTGTGTAGTTCCCTTTTTTTTTTTTACCCTCACTCATGACGTTTATCTCTATTTATTCACTTCTTTCTTACTGCCTGCTGCTCCCAAGAGCTTGGATGCTCCAGAAGGGTACTAGGAAAGGAACTCTTGCTTTATGTACAGTCATTTCCTTAGCACTTAGAATGCCTGGCACAGAACAGGTGCTCCAGGAATATCTGCTGAATGAATGAACAAATGAACTACCAAAGAATGATTGATGGATAGATGGATGGATGGACGGATGGATGGATGGATGAGGCAGAAATTTTAGTTTGTTATGTGTTGTAGTGTTGGCGATGAAGATATGAGTTATCTTTGTTAGCTTAATTCAGAACATTGTATCCTTGTGCTCATGTTGGTGACTGTCCAGATATTGACTGGAATCAGAATTCATACATGATTTCATCAGAATAAACAGTGTTTGAAATGCATGAGATTGTGTGGAAAATTAAATGAAGATGCGCCTAAAAACTAGGAACAGACCATAAGCAGTAGGAATTGTCTTTAGAACATTCTTAAGATATGTAAATATGATGTATCAAATTCAAAACAAATGACATGCAAATAGTAGCTATTCTGTTTTGGGATATCTATCTGTGTAATCAAATCTTAGAAGATGGAGGACAGAAGCTTTTCTTTATTTTGCCTCTTTATGGTCAAGAAATAAGTATGATAAAGGCTATGAGGTCTGGAGACATTTACTGCAGATAGTACATTTTATTAGCTTAGTCCAAAATGGTATGAGCCGTAGTATTCTCTGCCTAAATTCATACTGTTCACTAAAAAGCAGCCCATGAGGAGTGTGAGACCATTACAGCTGTGTCTGCATACAGACAAAGACCAATCTGTTTTGTCTCATTAAAAAAAATATATGCCTTTTCTTTAGCTCCGAGTCAGGGCTCTGACTCTAAGCTTCTTTATAACCTAGCAAATGAAGGCTATTCTAATGACTACCTAAAAATATTGTGTTGCCTGAGTAGATACCATCGCTTTTGAACAATTGTAGCTGACTCAAACCTTGAGCAGGGGAACTACTGCTTTGCTTCACAGAGAAAACATTTACAATTTAAAGAAATCCTTGTCCAAAAGCACTGAATAGTAAGGGGCAAGCCTAGTGACTCCTCAGTCAAAGATTTCCAGGATACCATCTGTCCAGTTTTACATTCCTTAAAATAAGTATCAATTTACTTCCCTTCCGCTCATGGTATTTCTCCATAAAGATTTTAAAAGCATGTTCAGGCTTCTTAAAATGTCCAATATAGGTAATTTTGCCTTGTATTTCAAGTGTCAAAGCCAGTATATCTTAACTGTAGGGAGTGGGACAGAAATACATGCACACACAAAGACTCAGAGAAGTCACATGGAAAATGTACTTAGTTTGTGTAGCTGCTCCTAAAGGATTCCTGGACTGTCAATGTAGTTGTTTTCAGGGGTGAAAACTACTTTCAGTGCTAATTAGCCTTAATCAGTTCTAGGAATTGCTCATGTACTCTGTAGATATTATGTAAATTTCCTGTGGAAAATATAGAAAGTGAGTATTTTAAGATGTATGATTCATGAAATTCACTGAATCTTGGCTTAGTATACATGAAATTTAAGCATGCTGTTTGCATTATCTGTATTTATATTATCTTCCAGGCTGTTCCTTACTCCAGAGAATTTAAGCAGAAATACGACTACTTTAGGAAGAAATTAAAGAAACCCGTGAGTAATCATCTCTTCCCAGAATGCTTGCTGTGTTTCAGTCATTCATAAGTCACCAAAGTCGCTTCAGTGAGAACAGCTTGTTCATTATTTTTATATGTATACTAAAAATATTACCTTCCTTTTTTCACTGCATTTTGATCCACCTGGATCTTCAATCTGAATTTTCTTTTTAACAGAAATGGTAAGGGAAGATTAACCAGTATTACATATCAAATCACCTGAAGGGTAACTTCTTATGTAATGCAGAAGACAGACATAAATGATTTTTGTGGGATATAGAATAATTCAGCACCTTACTCAAAAAATATGGGAGAAACCATACAATTGCTATAGTTGTCATATTTTAGAAAACCTATATTGTAGTTAGAAAAGTATTCAAGTCTGTGCCATTAAATGGAGTAGTTTTAACTGTAGTACTTACATTCCAGGATAAAGTTTCTAACATATAATTATAATACTTGGCAGTATTGGATCCAAGTGTAATTTTTTAATTACAATTCGTGCTGGCCGTTTAGGAACAGAACACACCATAAGGCTTTCCGTGCATTGCAGTGTTGTGTTGCTCCTGGCGCACCACCCCCAAGTTCTTTCATGTTGCATCTTCTTGTTCTTCTCAGCCACCTCTCTGGTGTCAGTGGTCTTTAATTTCTGGCCGTGGGCTCTTGGGGCTCCCTGGATCTGGTACCCTGTCCCTGTGCCATGCTCCTAGTTGATGCCTGTTTTCCAGGTCTGCTGTGGACCAGCAGTTACTCAGAGGGTCCCTCTTCTGTTCCAAAGTTCTTACTCCAGGACCTCACCTGTAATGACTTAAAATGACTCTTTGTCCTTCAAAACTCAGATTTGAATGTGTAAGATTCTGTAAGTTCTTGTGACTCATCCACTTGTCCCCAGCCTCACTCTGCCACTTATGCTACTGTGTTCTGCCTGCACCCCTTCCTAGAGCAAGGCCAGCCCTGCACCTCATCCTTCCAGGAGGCCATTCTCATATCTTCAGTCAAGTGGTGTATGAGCATTGCTGATGAGTTTTGTGTTACTTTCCCCAAACTTGGCATAATGAGGGGCCCCATTCCCCGTGACAACAGAGTGGACTTGCAACCACGGTAGATCATATCTACCACCTGGAGTTCCTCCTAGAGATGATAATGCAGAATGGTCTCAGCTGGCCAGGTGGATATTATTTGTAGGTTTTGATTACCTGGGCTGAAGTCTCTCCTTGACATGCAATACGTAGAGTTGGCTGCTTCACTTAGCAGTGGGTGGAGAAGTGCCCACATTACTTATAATGGGGCAAGAAGATGGTTTTCTTCTACGCGGCAGATTTCTGCGGCATATGTTACAGACTCGGCTTAATCACCTGCACGTGGACTCTGTGTGCCCCTTGACACAATGAGGCTATCTGTCTGTGGAAAGAAAAAAAAACTCAGTTCAAGTTCCTGTCACTGCTCATCTGTTTAAAGTGTGCCATCATTTCTACTCTTTGTTGTTTTTTTCCTGTTACGACGCAAGGTATATATTTACTGTATGATTATGAACTTTTTATTTCTTCTTTGTAGGCTGATATTCCAAACAGATTTGAAATGAAACTTCACAGAAATAACATATTTGAGGAGTCCTATCGGAGAATCATGTCTGTAAAAAGACCAGATGTCCTAAAAGCTCGATTATGGATTGAATTTGAATCGGAGAAAGGTCTAGACTATGGGGGCGTGGCCAGAGAGTGGTTCTTCTTACTGTCCAAAGAGATGTTCAACCCTTACTATGGGCTCTTTGAGTACTCTGCAACGTAAGTATGTGGGGTCCATTTGGAATACGTTCCCCGTGCAAATAGTTTCATTCTTAATGAATTTAAACTTAATGAGAAAATAAGTAACTCAGTTATGATACAAATCAGCACTGCTGGTTTTAGTCCGTCTCCACTGCCATCCCTTTTAGGTCTAGAACAGGTTCTAAGACTGCATGGTGAAATAATGTACTCTGTGAACACCTAAAATTCATTCTTGTCTGTTGAGTTCATGGAATTGAAATTGAAATGTGTTTGGATAATTATGGTAAGAAACAAGAGACAATTTCCATTTATAGTGTTACATTCATTTAAGAAGAGAATTTGTCAGTATCAGAATTCAAAAAAAGTCAGTATGTGAACAAGAGTAGTGTCTGAAGTCCCACTATATAAAGGTAAATTACGTGATCTTTGAAGACTTGTGCTTGGGACACAAAGGACCATGCCTTGGTTCTGTAAGGAAGAGCCAGGCTGTCCCATACGTTAGGATCCCATCATTTCCAGGCGTGGAAAGTAAAACATTGCATTGCTTTCTTAGTGGTCAGATATTGGCTACTTACAACACCCACCATTTTGCTCCATGCTGAGGATCCTCAAGGCTGAAGGCCAACCCTGAGTTTCTGTAGTGATTGACCTTCCTAGGAAGCATTTGGCACCACTCCAGCCCTGGGCTCTAAAGAATTACGGGTTGTTCTGCGCCTTCCACCTGGTACCAGTCTCCTTCTCAGTTGATTTCCAATAAGTGCCCGGTTTGGTGACTGATGGGTGTTACAGAGTTCTGTGAGAAAGTCTGCTAGGTAAAACTGATAAACCCATTGAAGTAGAGGACCGGATAGCATACAGAATTCTCACCTCTCACCTACATTCCCAAAGATGCCCTCTAGAGTTGGTCTGTGCAGCCCAGTTTTAAAACTGCTGATTGTAATGATTGTGAGAACAAAGAACCACTGGGCACATCCAGACATTTTGAGGTCTGCCTTGCTGAGACAGCGGATTCTGCTCCCTGTGCTCCTGAGGGCTTTTCAGGGGAGAGTGACGCTCAGATAAACCAAGAATTGAGCCCATGAGAAAAATCTTATCCCAAACCAAAAGCTCTTGAAGGAGTTAACCTTCCATTACCACAGAGACAATCTGAAGCATTACATCATTGAGAATCTCTGCATGGGCCCCTTAATTATGTATACTTTCTTTTATATTCTCAAGATATTTGGCTGAACCATTTGAAATTGATATTTTTACAGATCAGAAATAGGCACTGATCAGCAGTCAGTGAAAGCTCAACTTACTCTGTAGGGTGCATGTGTCAGTCTTAATAGACCTCGGTGTTTGGTCAGCAAAAGGGCTGACCAACTGGTGAGTCACACTCTCTAGCTTATACTTGTTCCCACTGAGTACAAAACTTTTGTGATTGTGTTGTAAAAGTCAAGCGACAGTTGGCAAAGTAAAATTCAGATCTTGAGTTTCTTTTTCAAAAGTATGGTTGAGGGGCTGGGGATTTAGCTCCGTGGCACAGCACCTGCCTGGCAAGTGTGAGGTTGTGAGTTTGATTCCTGGTACCGGAAAACAAAAAGTATGGTTGAGCTTTCCTTCTCTTTTTTTTCTCCCTAACAGGGACAACTACACACTTCAGATCAATCCCAATTCAGGCCTCTGTAATGAAGATCATTTGTCTTATTTCACTTTTATTGGAAGAGTTGCTGGTCTGGCAGTATTTCATGGGAAACTCTTAGACGGTAAGTTATTAAAAAGTTTTGAAACAACAAAAAAGTAGGACAGTGCTATTTGTGGTTTTGTATTAGGTGTTTTGGCTTTTATATTGTAGATTATAAGTACCAGCCCCACTAGTTCCCTTTAGTGCAATAAAGAATTTTTATGTTGTACCCATACTACTGGTCTTTCCCCTGATACTATCTTGGACACTGAAGACAAAGTATCTATCTAGAGTTTTAAAAAGTATTTTTTAGACTGTGAAGCACAACATGTTGTATTTATGCATTTTGTATGTTTTCCAGCATGACTTTTCTTTAGTGAGAGCTAGATTTGGTGACAGATGGAAAAGCTAATTAAAAAGTTAATTAAAATGATCTAATCCATCAATATCCTGCCATTGTTCCATTTGTCCCCAAATTATTTTTTAATGTAATGAGACTAGATAATTCCAAGTAATGTTATAACTCAGCTAAAACCTTAACGCTAGAGTCCCTGCTGAAATAGATGACACAAAATAACCTCATTCTTATTTAAAGCACGTAAATCACAGAAGAATTTCAAGTTACATTAAGGGTTAGAAATCAACCCCATACCTGGCTGTGTCATAGTCTTAACATACAGATTTCTTATGGACTTACTTAAAAAATAATATCCATAAGACAGCACTACAGAAATCAGTGTGGGAAAATCATCAGAATTTTTTTTCAACTTTTCCATGAAATGGTGAGAGTGAGAGACAGTAAAATTTGAGATTGACATACCAGTGACTGTAGAGAGAGCTATTTGCAGGGGAATTGTGTTAATTGGATTTATGGAATCTGAGCTATTTCAATAAATAATTTATATACCCTCTGCACTTTTCCCTTTAGTAGGTTGTTACTGTTAATTGCGCATTTATTTTGATGTTCTGAGATTTTGGAGCAGGGGGAGGAGGTAAACGCTTTTTTCTGTCTCAGTCTTCTTGTGTATGTACGGTGTGTTGAGGGTGGTGGCCCTAAGCCTTAGATTTTGTCAGCCTCTCAGACTCACCACTCTGTCCTCTTAGTGCGGTTTATTCATGTTCTACACTGAGATGAAAAGGCACTGCTATTCCTGTGGAAGTCTGTAGAGTATAGGATATGGTCCTGACCTCAGTGAGTTCTTATTTTAGTGGGAAAAAGAAGAAACAAAAGCGAATCATGAGAGGGTTCGTGCAGGAGGGAGCACATTGAGTACTCAGAAGAGAAACCAACTTGACTGGAGATGCAGGGATCGCGCCACTCGGGGGTGGGTAGCACGTGAGCATCAGAGGTCAGGACGTTTTAGAAGAGCTGGGGCTGCACAGGCATCAGGGCGCTGCAGTGAGAGAGACAGAGCAAAGCAAGTACAAACAGGGAACAAAGAGGCTGCTGGGGGAGTGACAGTGTGTGCCAGAAACAGCAGGACTCACAGCCGCAGCGCCTACAGATATGTGTGATCTGCAGATCTTCCTAAAAATGGGACTGGTCCTGTCAGCAGCGCACACTGGGCACATCTGCCACTACCCCCTTGCCAGACATTGTGGATCCACGTCAAGCTAGGGCAAGTTGGCCTGTGTGGGGGCTCGGGGCCTGCAGGGAGGAGGAGGAGGAGAAGGAGGAGGTGGACGTGTCTATGAGAGCCGGCCTGTGACATCCCTGCAGCAGGACATCCTCATAGAGAATCATCCCTCCCTCTGCTGTGGCCTCCCTGGCCTTCTGCCTTCCCTCAGTGAAGACTGCGCAGCCTGCTCGGGGGTCGCCCGTTTCCCTGGCTGAGTTTTGCTCCCATCACTATCCAGGCAGGGATGTGGAACTGCAGAGCGAATTCTTCTGGTTTCCCAGTGGCTCCCCACTGCCCTTGGGACAGCCCTTCCCTTTGTCCCCACACACTGCCAGCCCCTTCTCTGGCCACACCTCCCGGGACACACTGCTTCTACCCTGTCCTACCGCTGACACATCTCTGTCCCGTGCCTCATTGTCACTGCAGACACCTGCTTGATCGGCAGTCCATTTGACACCACCCCCCGAAGCCACTTGCAGCCCTCTGCACTGCCCCGCTCATGTCTGCTAGTTCACTGCCTTCCTCCCCTCCTCCACAGGCCCTCGTTCATGTTCATGGGCTTCTCTAGAAGGTCCTTAGCTTTTCTGCGTGGGCCTCTCATTGACACTGAAAGCAAATTAATCTTTATTTCATGCTCTGATGCACAGCTGTGTCCAAGACTTGAAACTCTACACAGTTTTTGCCATGTTTTAGGTTTCTTCATCCGACCATTTTACAAGATGATGTTGGGAAAGCAGATAACTCTGAACGACATGGAGTCTGTGGTGAGTAGACAGAGACCATTTTGTGGGCCATGGCAGAGCACCTGCTCCTCGTGGACAGTGGCTGTTGCCCGGATGTTGCCATGTAGTGTGAACAGCAGAGAGCTCTTAGTTATTAGAAATTAATTGGTCTTCCTAATTTTTGAATAAGCAAATTATTGTTCACATTTCCTAGAATCATAGTACTTGGGGTAGGTATAACCTAACCTTACCTCTGCTAATCCAGCACAGTGCTTGTGTGAACAAATGAAGTCCAAGGGACAGTTGAAGACCTCAGTGTAGCCTGTTTTCTGTCTGAAGCTGCTAGTTGTAAAAGCCTAGAGATTCGTTCGCTGTTCCTTTGTTTTCTGACTTCATAAAAATGGCAGAGGCAAGGCCAAAACAATAGGAGGAACATCATACTGTCGTCCTCAATGTGCAGGAGTCAGTGACTCTGCAGATCGGAAGAGTCAGCGGACGCAGAGTTCCTCCAGTAACTAATGGAGAATTTTATGTTGTACTAACCTTACTAATTGTACCTGGATGTGCCATATTAAAGTAGAAAGCATTTTTTAGAAAAACAAAAGCTAATATTCTGTGCCCATTATACCTGTGCTACTTTCTGTTAGTTTACCCGCATCCTGTCCTTTTCCTCTGGGGTGTGTGAGGGTTCACCCATGTGCCAGTGCACACACAGTGCCCTCAGGAGGCATCTTCGTCATGTGGGAAATTTGAGGCTCTACTTCACTGAGAAAGCTCCTCCCCATCAGCTGGGGTCGGTGCTGGAGTGTCAGCACAGCTTGTACATAGCTGATCTCTGAGCCGTGTCCTCAGTACTGACCTCCATTGACATGGTGCTGCTTCTAATCACAGGGAAGGGGAGGAGGAGGCTAGCACTGCCCTTGAACCCTCTGCTTCACATGTGGTCATGGCCAGGCTGGTGTGCACATCCTTAATACCAGTATTATTTTTCCTTTCAGCTTTCACCTTCCACCTTTTATTCTTGCTTATAATGAGGAAACTAAAACCATAGAAATAGCTCTTAAAGTCTGACTTTCTACCACCTATTTGCAGTTAGTTTTGGTGGTATTGTATTTGTGATACTGGGGTTTGAATCCAGGGCCTTCACGGTGAGGTTGGGCTCAGATTTGAGATCTTCGTGCCTCAGCCTCCCTAGTAGCAGGTTTAGTGGCATGCATCACTGTGTCAGTGACAGTGTTTGAAATACAATATTCTTATTCTTTTTGGCTTTCTGAAAGCTTGATATGTCCACAGCATAGAACCACGGACCTGAGCAAAAAGAGATGGTGGCCCTGTGATCCCTGCCCTGGATTTTCTACCTGGAAACCAGAACAGCCTTGCTTTTTATTTAAAGGAACAGGCTGAGAGCACAGAAGAGGAGAAAACTTTAAAATTTGATGTTTAGTTAGGACACTGTCTCTTCCTTCCCATTTTTGTCTATTTTAACTCATAAAAGACAGGAAATACAGTAGTCTGTGCATGTTAAATTCTGCAGACCTGGACCATCTGGCAGGTGTGACCATGCTCCAGAACAGGTGACTCCCACCTGCCCCATGGTCAGTAACAAACCCGTCACTACCTAAGGCTTTTGTTTATGTTTCAAAATAACAGCAAGTGGCTTGGGGTGGAGCAAGCACCGCTACATTAATAGTACCATTATTCTTGAGCACTCTGCATGGAATACATTAGAAGGGCTTAGTTAGTTAAAGGAGTCACATGCATTTTTTTAATGCTCAATTTTACTTTCTATATCATTCCTGTAGGATAGTGAATACTACAACTCTTTGAAATGGATCTTAGAAAATGACCCTACCGAACTGGACCTCATGTTCTGCATAGATGAAGAAAACTTTGGGCAGGTATTGTGGCCAACTCCTTTAGCTCTGTGGCTTTCAGAGAGCATTTCTGTTTTCATAGACTGCGGCACAGCTGTGCTGGATGATTAAGAACAACCACCAGGCACTGTAGGTGATCATCATCATCATCATCATCTCACTGCAGCAGCACCTCGCTGTCTTGCAGAAAGCCAAGTCTTGGGTACAGTGCTTTCCCTCTCCCAGAAATTGTGCAAGCTCTCAGAGGCCTCTGAGACATGAACCTGGAGCTCCTAGTTGAGAGCCAATCCGAGTGGGATGGTTGGCTTTAGAATTTAGAAATTTCTGTGATTGTTTACTGAGCAATGTGAGTGTGAGACCAATAGTGGGTGATATTCTGGGGGAATTAGGGCTTTTTTTTTTTTCTCTGCTTTATGGTTTTGTTGTCACGGAGAAATTTGTGTCATATGACTCAGGTTTTTCTGGTGTTCCTTCTTGCTTTGTCCCCACACTTGCCATCGAAATGGATTTATCATAAAGTCCCTTTCGAAGATAAAGTTGCCTATTTGGGATTTTCATCGTCATACTAAGGGACATAGGATGTGTTTGTGTAAAATCTGAAGGCTTTGAGTGATTGATTCCCTCAGTAACAGTGTTTCTTGGGAGGTATTCTAAAGGTATTATGTGACCCCAGTACTTTTGCAAAAGCCAGAGATATATCCCACATCTCAGACCAAATCTACATGGTTTTGAAATTAAGTCATAGAGCCCATTTCGGGTTACTAGATGAAAAATGAAGTAAATTTGTTCTTTATTGCTTCAGAAACTATCAAAAGCATATTCCACTATGGAAAAATGCATTTATGGCTCGGTTTAATCCAAGAAGTCGTGAAATCAGGTCCCTGCCCTCTTGGTAAATCCTAAGTGATTCTCAGAGAAAAGATTCGTATACAACTAGATGTAAAGAATTAATGACATCTAGGGGCAAAACTTGTGCATCAAGAAAATGATCATGTAAATATCAAGGTTACTTCTTGCCCCTGTGTCATATTTTGAAACCAGGAAACCAGCTACTGTGTGCAACCTGGGAGTGGGTAGACCTCAGGAAATCTGTGTTGTCCTTCCCAGTTGACTGGCAAGATTTATAGAAGAACCTCAGGGACCAAGGAGGAGAGGCCTTGTGACTTTATGTAAATGACCAGTGAGTTCATTAAAAATCTCTCCCAAGTCCTTTAAGAAGCCTCACAGACAAAGCACATCACTCTCCTGCCTGGGCCCATGTGACAGGCGGGGAGGGGGCTTTCCTGCCCCTGCCTACCCACTCACTTACCCGTCTCACAAGAGGCCTCCAGTGCCTCCCACGCCATCAGCCTCCTTCATCCAGAAGTGCAGGGAGCTTTGCCCCTCCTTCCTCCTTCCCTGCCTCCCTGCCTCACTCCCTTTCTTCCTCTCACTTCTTGATTTTCACACTCCTTCAAAGGCCTGCTTTCTCTGCTGACCTGGCAAACACTGGCATCCTTCTGCCGTCATAATCTGCCCGCTGCTTTCTTGCCCCACACACTCTAGTTGGATGGCCTCGTGCCCACTCAAGGCGCCAACGACACCGATCTGTGCCCCTAACCGTCAGCTCCTTTGCTTTAGCTCAGGCCTCGTCCCAGTCTCCAGATGCCCTGGTCGCATCTACCTCATCAGCCACTCACTCCCTCAGCGAGTCCCAGGGCTCCTCAGAAGCCAGCGCTTTCCTCCTCGCAGCCCCACTTCCGCTCCTGTCTCACCCATGAAACGTGGGCCTCATCTGCAAATCTCATGCTCCTTCGTGCTCTCTCCCGTGTCCAGCAGGTCCCTATGTCCTTGTTGTCCCTCCTATCTGTGCCTTTGTTTAGTCATTCAGACCCCACTTGTTTCTGGGCTGAGTTGCTCTCACGTCTTCATGTTTCATCTTCCATATTCTGGTCCTCTTCCCAGTCCATTTTCTGCTCTCCCCTAACTGTGGGCCCATATTTAATGTTTCCAAAAGGCAGGCACAACCTTCCTGTCACTTTCAGTACAAATTTAAAGCTTACCAGCATGGCTTATGACCCCTCGTGCTCCAGCACTCATCCTCCCCAGTCATCCTGACACTTCTTGCCATCACATCCCAGTGACCCGGTAACTGTCCCCAAAGGCGCTTTTGTGCTGTTACTGACTCAGATCTCATCCACTCTCTTTCGTTACCTATGCCATACTGTCCTCTAGTCTTTGCCCAACACACTGTACGCCATAGGCCCCTCTGAGGTCTCTTTCTGTCTCATCGCTTAGCAGGGAGTTGCATACTGAGCAAATGGGTGAGCAGTGCTAAGCTGGCTTTAAAAAACTGTGAACAGTGCTGTAGGTAATAGACGTCCTGTGAGAAAGCAAAATGAATTGCATTTCAGTGGCTTGCTTTTTTTAAGCTAGACCTGTTGACATTTTAATTGCTAATTTTCAAAGGATAGCACACAATGTTATGGTTTGTGTCTAAATGTCCCCTAAAGCCTCAGGCAGTCATGGGGCAGGCTTCTAGAGTTTGTGATTGATTCATAGTCCAGTGCTGGGATTTATGGGTGTAAGTGTTACACCCGCCCTGGGGCAGGCAGCCTGCATACACTATAAGGGAGGGAAAGAGGCTCCCTGTCTTGCTCCTCCCCTTTGGGCCCTTGTTGCTTTGCCTCCGCAGCCATGGACTGCTGCAATTCTGCCATGCCCACTCTGCCTGGGGGCCAGCCGAGTGTGGACTGAAACCTCCACAAACTGTGTGTTAAATGAACCCTTCCTTCCTTAATTCTGGGCCTTGGGTATTTTGTCTCAGCAATGAGAGAAAAGTAACTGAAACATAGTTTCCTAGAACTATGCATCTCTTCATTTTCAACACACTTAGGAACGATTAGAAATAAAACACCAAAAAAGAAGTAAGATGAACCTTGCAGGTCAAATGAACAAAAAGCCTCTTTGTGTATCCACCAACAGAAAACCATATGACCAACTCAACAGTTCAGAATCTATTAGTAGCAGCAAAAGCAGAAACAAATGAAGTGGGAAACCTTCTGTAGGTACAGTTAAAGGTAACTGTTTTCACCTAATAAGTGAAAACCAAACACAAGATGTTGGATTTTTAAGTAGACTTCTAATAAAGGTTCTGTTTATCGTTATAGTTGATGCTGATTATTATAAACAATTCTCAGATCTTCTTATTTAATGCCATGGACTTTTCTGACTTGAGTAGAGTCAGTGTGATGTAATTGGACCCAGGAAATGAGAGAGGTGATTAGGTGCTTGATTAGTTAAATTACTCTCCTCCCTTTATTCGATCACTAACCTGATGAACAAGGCACTAATGTCTACTTCACATACTGGGCAGGAATTTAAAGCAAATTCACAAGCAGGTACAGTGGTGCCTCGCTTCACGAACTTAATCCTCTCCATGATCCTGGTTGCAAACTGAGTTGGAGGAGAACCGAATCAAATTCAGTGGTTAGGTTCAGTGCTGACGTTATGGAGAAATTCAGTTCAGTTCTCGTCCAGTTCAGTTTGTGACCAGAATCATGGAAAGAATCAAGTTAGTGAGCCAAGATACCACTTCGCTGTCTTCTTCCTGTTCAGTCTACCACAGAGCCCTGTTCACAGTCCTCCCAGATAGTCCTCCCGTACATTTGCTCCCCTCTCTGTTCCCACCAACCCCCAAGTCCAAGCTGTCTCCTTCTCTCATAGCTCCTTACAGGTCTATCTTCTTTGGTTCTTGTTATAGCACAGAGATCATTTCAGCATGTAGAAATGATCGTGTCATTTTTCTGCCAGAAACTTTCAGGGGCTTCCCAATGCCCATGTGATAGAGTCTAGGTCCTTAGTCTGTCCGCTGAGCTGCTACACAGCCTACCCCACTATTTCTCCTCTGGATTTGTTTTGTATCACAGATTTGCTCCTCAGACTTTCTGGGTCGGCCCTGCTGGCCTTCTGGAACTCATCAAGCTTCTTTCTGCCTCAGGACCTTTGTTCATGTTTTGTCTTCTGTTGGGAACAGGCTGCTCCCATCTGAGTTCAGACATCCCTTCCTCTAGGAAGTCAGCACTTGGCCAGTCATACCTTGGTACTCAGCTGCTTTGAAACTCATTGAATTTGGTGTTCAGTGCATTTTGACATGAAATTTTGTCCCAGTGCTCATAATTTGTTTGATACTCAACATTGGTTTGGTACTCAATGTAAAAGCTAGAACTTGCCAGTGCCAGTTGCCTTGTAACTCAACTACAGTTCCCAGCCAGTACAATTTGTGTGGTACTTGCTGATTACAGGGTTCATCCCGCCTCCCATAATCAATTCATAAACACCAATGTACATCAGCGTTTCCTTCCATGTCTTCCTAATACCATTACCATGGGGAACTTTACATTCATTTGTCCAAGTGTGTATTTAGCATCTGACACCAGACTTTGTCTCAGTGACAGCCACAGTGTGTCTGCTGTTGGATCATCATCGCACACTTGTCATTAGCATGGTTCCTGGCACATGAATGAGTAGCACTCAGATAATGGTTGTTAAATCAAAAATAGGAGCCTCGGCAGGGTATCCATCCAAGGCTCTCAGCCCTCTGCAGAGTGTTGACTGTGCTGTGCAGTTGCTTCTAACCAGTTTGTCCAGCGCCCCCAGATCCAGCTAAAAGTCATCTCCTCAGTGGGGCAGAACCAGCACCATGGGCACAGCGAGGTGGACGTGCACTGGGCATTCCACAGAGTTTCGTGCTGGAGCCCCGGTCATTTCACACTTACAAGCAGCAGACCATGAAGTGGTGGCTGTTGCTGCCTGTTATGGAGCTGCAGCTGTTGCCGTTGTGTGAATTGTTTTCTTCCTGCTCGGTGAGCATGTGGAGCTGCTCGTTTCTGGGGCCTGCTGTGAGCGTGTCCAGTGGAGAATGCTCAGATGCCAAGCAGGAAGAGTGGCTGTGTACCCGTGCGCTTGTGTACACACACACACACACACACCCAGGAAAGGGGCCTTCAGAGCAGAACAAAACACTCCTTCCTTCACGTTGGACAAAGCACATTGGTCTGATGAGGTTGTTTGTAGAGGCCCTGGGGTGTGGCCTTCAGGAAGCTGTGCTGGCAGAGGAAGGACAGCAGCCCAGTAGGGAAATTCTGCAGGACAGGGCATGCCAGATTAAGCAGATTTCTTAACAGGGCACAGGCCCCACCACAGCAGGAGAGTTATCTCGGAAGTCGCCAGGGCCCGTGGCCCTTGTGGGCGCCGCAGTAGGGAGCGCAGTGGGCCGTGCTTCTGCGTTTTGTGGCACTAGGCAAGTCAGTGGGGAGAGGGGCTGTCGGACAAAGGCTCCTTAGGGGACTGAAATGAAAAAAAAGAAGTTAGGGGAAGGGAGTTTGTCAAAAGGCAGAAACTAGTAGAGCACAGGGAGGAGAGGGCCGGGAAGAACCAGGCCGGGAGCCTAGAGGGGGTGATGGCACCCGAGGTCACTCCAGGAACAGCCAGATGGCAGCTGAGGAAGTTGGAAGTTAGAATGCAAGAGGTGACCTGGAAGCCCCGGTGCTGTCTTTGCCAAAGCTTTGCTGTCATCCTGGGGAGGACTGGGAAGGGGAAGTAGGCTGGCCAGGGACGGAGCTGCAGAGGGCACTGGCTGCCCCTAAGGCTGCACCTCACAGGGGCCAGCGTTTACTGCTCAGCACCCAGAAATGGGGTCATAGAAGCAGATAGACCTTCTCTGCCTAAGTCCCGTGTGCTCAGTATGAACCACACTGTTTCTCAGCTAAGCCCGCAAACCTTTGTCGTAAAGCATCTGTGCAAGGTCGGGGAGCTGTGCTGCATCCAAAGCTCTTGACTTGCAAGAGGGGGATTCTAGCTCTGTGAGGGTCTCGCATCTGCTCCTGGTTTCCTCTGATCTGTACGAAGAAGAGCGAGAAGCTTATGCTCAGGATACTAGACTTTAAAAAATAAGACTCTTTCTATCTGTAGGGGTTTTTCCATCAGTACTTATTGAACACCTCCTGTGTGCCAGACACTGCGTTAGTGTCATATGGGGCTCTTTGGAACCCAAGAAAATGATGATGATCCCTAGAAAGCCAATGCTAGGGGCAGAAGGATGTACTTAGTGTAATGGGGAAATGGACATGACTTCACCCAAAGCACAGGATTGAAAACTACTTCCCTGAAGAAAGGACACCTGGGCTCCAGCGCCAGCTCCATCTAGTTTCCTGCATATCCTTAGTCAGAGTGGTTCACCTTCCAAGTTTCTGCCTCCTCCTCTGTGTGCCATGGTGCTGTGGGCGGGGACAAGTGTGACCAGCAGAAGCCAGAAGCCCTCTGGCTTCTCCCTCCTCGGCACCAGGCTGCTGGTTCCTCTGAGCCTGCTGAGGGTTTGCAGCCCTGGTGCTGTTTTGTCCTCTCTGGTGGCAGTAGAGTCTGAAATGAGGAAGTATGAGGTATTAGTGCTCATACCTCATTGGGGGGGAAATGAAAACACAGGCTATAGCTCAGCAAGATGCTCAGCAGGAATGGAAGCTGCCAGAGAAGTGAGCAGATAGAATCCAACTTTGCAGACCCATGAACTAGGGTTTGCATCCAACTCCCTGCTTTCCCCTGAACCTGATGCTTAGCCAGAAATCACTGTGATGGTGCCTTCCCTAATGGGGTAATTCGGCAATGACCTGTGACAGCATCTGCAACACAGGAAGCAGCCTGAAACTTGGCCCTGGCAGCTGGCTGAAAAAGTAGAATTGGAACACTGGTCAGTGCTCTCACTAAAATGTTGTCTCTGGAGAGCCCATGAAGGACAGAAACTTGGCGCCACTGACAACATGACTGAGAACCTGGGACTCACCCCAACATGGAGGCCTAGGGAGAGAAGCTGCCTCTGAGCTGACTTCCCTTGGCAGGCCTGCCCCTGAGCACCCCCTCACCCTCTGCAAAGGAACCTGGTCCAGATCAGCCGTGCAGCCTCTTCATACTTGTGTCCTCCTCATTTAGCACGGATGGTTGGGTCCTTTTTTTTCCCCTTTCAAAAACACTTTTAGCAGTTTTTTATTATTATAAAATATTAACCTTTGTAATTAAAGTAAAACCAGCACAATGAAAATGCTGAAAATCTCAAGGTATTACCTATCTCAAGAAGAATCGAGATTGAAATTTTGACTAAGGTACAGTGAGTGGTGCATACCAGTAATCCCTGTACTCTGGGGGGCGGGGCATGAGGCAAGAAGCTTGCAAGATTAAGCCAAACCAGGGCAATTTAGTTACTTACTGGGAGGTTGTCTCAAAATAAAAAGGGCTGAGAGTGTATCTCCGTGCAAAGAACCTAGGTTCAATCCTTAGGACCACACACACACAGAAGCACTACACGTAATAGAACTATTCTTTGCATGCATACGGATGCAGGTTTAATTTTTCTTTGAACGGAAATGGAATTGTACTGTGCACAGTGCTGTTAATATACCACATACTTTCCTATGTCAGTAAATATCAATCTACACTGTTTTAATGGCAGCACTGAATTCCATCTTTTAGATACGTACTGTATATTTTAACTGTACCTTATTTGTGGGCATGTAGCCTACTTCTGTGTTCACTGTATTAACTTCCTGGAATATCCATATATATAGTATATAAACATAGATAGCATGTAATACTGGAATATACATTTTGCATACTTGGTTAATTTTTCTTCTTTGATATAAGTTCTAAAAGAGAAATTGTGAGAAGGAACATGTGCACAGGAAAACCACGATGCCTATTTATTGCCAGATTATCTTCCAGAATGATAAAGCAGGGAGACACACCAGCAGTGCCAGCGGGAACCCTGTTTGTACCTGAACGCATGGGTTAGAGCTGTCTTGGTGGCCTTACAGGGTCTCCTCCCCTCCTATCTGCAATTCTCCCACCCTTTCATTCAGTAGTTATGGAACTGACAACTCCCAGAGAACACCTGAGGATGGAGGCCCAGTAAGCAAAAAGAGGGGGCAGGATGATCGCAGCAGGAGTGTCCTGCAGGGATTACAGATATTGTTTATTCCCCCTGCCCGGAATATGACAGCTGGGAAGAGGGGGCTTCTATCTTCGACTAGCTGAGCTGTACCAAGAGCCTGCTCAGTTCCAGGAGGTGATTGTTAACTCATCAGTGGTATAGAGCAGATAGAAAATCTCCGTTAATGAAAAGAACACCAGGGCAATCTTAGAGGAAGAATGGGGAGCCAGTACGGGGCTTATTAAGAGCTGCTAGAGAAGATATGAATGAACTCAAGCCACAAACTTCAAAACAACTGTCAGTATTCTTGTAGGAAACATCCCCACCTGACCACCCCTGCAAAAACTGTTTGATGTCCACTAGCAGTGACCTGGACTGTCCAGAGCAGGAGGGGGTGCCCGCCAACAAGAAAGGGAAATGGAGCTATGAGGACGGGTTTGAGGGAGACTGGAAATGCAGAAACAGAGTTAAGTCTGTCAGGGACTGCAGAGAGACAAGACCCTTTCCCAAATGAAAAGGAAAAAGAAGAACACGCAGAGGGGTCAGATGGATGCTCAGTGCAATTGAAGAAACCACGTCATAGTGAACAGGAGTGAAAATCAAGCAGATGTAGCAAACCGTTGAAGAAACGAGACTGAGTGTTCAGGCCAGGAGCCCAGGTCTTTTATGTATACAGAAGTGGAGCAAGGAGTCACTGGGGGAACTTTTGCTGGAGCGTGGATCCCATTGCAAATTGGAGGCTGTGTCATCATTTTGTTTAGAACTCTAGCTCTTGGTTTACTGGGCAGTACAAACTTGTGGACTCCAGAGGATCCCACCAAAATATCCACTTGGCTGTCTTATAGCAGGGAAGTTGGGCTGTAGAATTTTTTTCCACAAATAATAGGCTTCCTCTTGTACAGCTTATTGCATCTTGCGAGATCTGGGGATCAGGGGAAGGTGACTGGTTTTACCAACTCTGTTCCTTTGTGATCAAGGTTGCTCTAAGGAAGGGTGGTATCAGGGCCAGACAGTGAGAAGAAGTGTTCCCATGCAAGTAAATTTCTTCAACCTGGCTTCTTAAGCTTCTATTTTTTTTCTTTTCCCTCGATACTGGGGATCAAGGCCAGGACCTCACACATGCTAGTAGGCAAGCATTCTACCACTGAGCTATATCTCCTGCCATTTTTTAAATTTTATTTTTAACGCAGGGTCTAAGTTACCAGACTGCCATCAAACTTGTGATCCTCCTGCCTTAGTTTGTTAAGCAGCTGTGATTATAGGCATGCACTACTGCCTGATGCTTAAGCTTAACTTTGCTTTCTTTCTCTCTCTCTCTCTCTCTTTCTCTCTCTCTCTCTCTCTCTTTCCTTCTTTCTTTCTAGGCCCTGTGTTATACCTGTTAGAATGAAAATCTAGCATCCTTTTTTAATTACTATAAAATTTTACTTCCAGAAGCAAAATACATTCAAATTTGTATCTCTGTAGTCATGTTTGATTTACTGTTTTTGTCTGTTAAACATAGTTAATTGATAAATGAACAGATTTTTAAAAATGTCGTTCTCTGTTGTTGCTAATGTATGAAGTATAATTAAAACTCACAAACAGCCATAGACTAATTTTTCTTTAATGATGACATCCTTAAATGTGTGACATTTTAACAGTTTAAAAGCTTCATTCGACATTCTCTTGTACACAGAGCCCATTTTCTGGGAAATATTTTTGAATAAGTTTTGCTTATCTTTCTTAAGACCTTATTCCATAATGATATATGTCAAATAACTCCATGGTGATTTTTGTTTTTTCTTTGTAATTATAGACGTACCAAGTGGATTTGAAGCCCAATGGATCAGAAATAATGGTAACAAATGAAAACAAAAGGGAATATATTGAGTACGTATACACATATTTACAACCTTCTCTTTTAATAAATTGAACAGCACATGGGGTCGGCATCCCTTGCCAGGATAGCTCGCAAGCACTGTGACCATGACTGCACTGGCCAGTTTTCAGCAGTGTGATTCTTTTTTGGCCTGGACTAATGGGAAGTTGAATGCGGGTTGGTAATGGAACGTAGGCTGGAAACTGAATGTGGACTGCATCGTATCATTATTTCTGTGAGCTGCCCTGTAAAAGCGGGGAGCACAGAAAATGTGTATGTGATTGAGTAACATGGCAGGTGCTCTTTAGGGGGAGCATGTGGACATCTTGTTTAAAAGCTAAATTGTAACAGTGTAACATGGTGTCCAAAACCAGTGGGATAAAATTAAGAACTACCAAAGGCAAGATATTTTCCCTCCCTCTCCTGACTACCTCTCTATAAGGAAAACAGTTAAAAACAGATAGGAAGTCTTTAGCATGGGTAAACATAATGAGTTTCTGATGTTTGCAATTTTCATAATGCAAGCTCAGCCTTATTTGGTGGATCAAAATGTTGAGTCCTGTAAGCAGTCCAGTTCTTAAATAATCCTAGGATTTTTATACCAGGCAGATCTTTCTTGCTTGGGTACATTATATTTTTACCTTGGACATGTCTGTGTGATTCAGACACACAATTCTGAGCTCTTCCAAGGGATGGCCATGTTTACCCTTCTAGCCTCTCCCTGGTGCAGGCATAAGGAAAGTGCCACGGGGCTTGGTTCTGGGGTCCTAGTTTCTGCATATCTCATGGGTTATAACAGCAGCCTGAGCTTGTTTGCCTTCAGTACTCTGTCTCAACAAGCAGTGTTTCCTCCTTATTTTAAATTAGTCAGAGGGCTTAAATTGAGAGTTGGCTGAGAATCGCAGCGTCTTTTAGTATGATATGCAAAAAAGCCCTGTCCTTCCTAATTGGGAAGAAATGGAGTGTGTCACAGTCTTGGCGCCCCTGAGGAGGAGTGGAACTACCATACAACAGTCCTTTCCCCACTCAAGTCAAAAACTTGTTCATGTTTAATACATAGTCTGGAGGTAAGATACTACAGTGCTTACCTGTCCACACTAACTGGTGCCCTTGTTTTGACCTTGAATGGTTTTTTTGTTTGTTTGTTTTTTTGTTTTTTTGTTTGTTTGTTTGTTTTTCTCCGGTACCGGGAACCGAACTCACGACCTTGCGCTTGCCAGGCAGGCGCTTTGCCGCTGAGCTAAATCCCCAGCCCCGACCTTGAATGGTTTTAGATGACACCTGGCAGACACCACTGTCTTTGCTTGGAAAGCAGAGGTGGTGAATAGTTTCTTTAAAAGGCTGCAGCGCAGAGTGACTGAGGTCTGAAATCTGAGGAGTTTGACATGTGCTGCACATCCGTCTTTGCGGTTAATTAATTTAGGGTTCAAATGTGATGATGGCCAGGACAAGGCAGGGTTAAAAAAAAGTGGGATTGAAATCTCCAGAGTGCTGCCTGGCCGTGTCCTCCTGGAGTGCTGGAAGAGCGGCCAGTGATTGCAGCCCAGACCCACAGAGCTGATACGGCCGAGCTGGGTGAGCTGCAGGCTGCTCGTGGGGCTCTTGCTGTGGTGCCACCTCTGACACGAGCCCTTTATGAGGACAAAGCGCCTTTGGTGAAATCCTCGCAGATTTGCCTTGCAGTTGGTTCTGCTCTGCACCAAACACTGTCGCAGGCAAAATGGTTTCAGTGGATGTCAGTTACTTTTAGAGTCTTAACCATTCACCATCCAGGTTTTGGCATGAAAACGTTAATGTGCTCCGTGCACTAGGAACTCACTTTACAAATACTTGCACATAGTTACACATACATGTGGGTGTAGGTGCATGTCTTTTATGCACACACACCTGTGAGCTCATACCCATTACTTTTTCTCTCTTCTTCAAGTAGTTACATCTGTAAAGTACTTTGATCAACGGAGGCTTGATGGGTAGTGGGGAGGCTAGTTATGACATCATAGATACTCCCCTAGTTACTGAAAAAATTCCTGAATCAGCAGTGGGTGCACGACAGTAGGATGTCCCCTGCCTCCCGCTTTGCTTCACTATTGCAGGGGCGTCTCTCCTTTTCCCTTCCCGAAGAGCAGCAGTTCCTATTGCAAAGAAAGCAGTGCATCCTGCTGACAGTGGGGGTGGTTAAGCATGTTCCCTTTTCTCCTGCAGCTTAGTCATCCAGTGGAGGTTTGTGAACAGGGTCCAGAAGCAAATGAATGCCTTCTTGGAGGTGAGTGCTGCTGGCGGGGTCTCTGCCGAGCATCTTGGGCCCTGGGTTAAGGACAGCTGGCAGGCTGCCTGTGGGTGCTGTGCTAGAGCTGACTGCTCTCTGAGTCACAGGGTTGGGGTGGGGACCACAGAGGAAGCCAGCACCACCAGGCTCACACGGTTGACCATCTGCAGGACAGGTGTGTTCACTGATTCACTATTGCTATTTTTTTTTTCTTTTTGTGTTCTCTTTCTTTGCTTCTCTTATTTTCTAATTTGTCTTAACTGTGTTTAATAGGGACTTTTTACACACTTTATCCAGAACTGTCAGCATAGAGTTGTAGGTGCTCCCTAGAGAAGGCAGCCTACTGCTACGGTGCCAGGGTCTGAGGCTGGTTCCCATCAGGCCATCCCACTGCGGACACTGCCTGCTTCAGTGACTGTGCCTTTTCTTCATGGCTGTCTTTAAGATTCCCCACAGAGGGGCTGGGGATTTAGCTCAGCGGCACAGTGCCTGCCTGGCAAGCGCGAGGTCATAAGTTCGATTCCTGGTACCAGAAAAAAAAAAAAAAAAAAAAAGATTCCCCACAGATTTTACAGAGAAAGCACGTTTTTGTCCGCTGGGCTTTGGCTCCCACCCTGGGAAGGAGGATGCAAGGGTTCCTACTGGGGACGCTCCCAGGCTCCTTCCAGCCCTGGCGCCTCGCAGAGGGTGAGGGAACATCACTTTAAAAAGTGTTTCACATTGACCAGAAGTGAAATCCTTTTTAAGTCTGGTAATGAGTTAGTAATTTAAAAGACAGCAGGGGGGCTGGGGATTTAGCTCGGCGGCAAACGCGCCTGCCTGGCAAGCACAAGGTCGTGAGTTCGGTTCCCGGCACCGGAGAAAAACCAAAAAAAATAAATAAAAATAAAAAAAATAAAAAATAAAAAAAATAAAAGACAGCAGGAAAAAGCCGCAAGTCCACACTATTAATTTCCAGTAAACTTGACACAGAGCTCCTGTGTGGCCACACTCTGGAGCTTACCCCGGCTCAGTTATGTGCACAGAATGAAGAAAGCGTGCTGGGCGGGATGCTCCAAACATTCAGGGTGCTGAGAACATGAAATGAAGGCTTGACTGGACAAGGGCACGTTCATGCTTGATTTAGATAAGAAACCCCAGAGAGCAGATTCCTGGGCCCCACCCGAGCAGCCCTCACTGTGAGGAATCTGGCTCCGGCCCAGCCCAGCGGCCTGGGGAGTCTCATCTTGGAGCACTTCACCGGCGGGTTGACAGCCGAGGCCCTGGAGCTGGACTTGCCACACTCCGTCTCTCCTGCACCGCATCACACCTCCTCCTTTTGTGCCTCATCCCAGGCCCTCAACGCGTTATTTTTAAATGTGTCTCTTGCACATCTGTGGTCTGTGCATTTTTAGGACACAGTGACTCACAATACTGTGTCATAAATGATTTTTTCTGAAACCACCTGCCCACAAGATTCATATTGTCACGGGGTTTCAAATATTACTCAAGTTCCTGAACCTTCTGGATTGTATAATTTTTCAAAACTTTCGTGTTTGAGTGTAGTTTTTATTGGGATTAGCATTATTTGATACTGTCATTGATACGTAAATCATCAATGAAGAGTATATTTCACCTGGCAAAGCAAAAACTTATTTCTATGTAAAAGTTATTTTTTTCCAGGAAAAATATGTTTAAAGTGATTTCTTTTTTCTTATTTGTCCTTTCAGGGATTCACAGAACTGCTTCCTATTGATTTGATTAAAATTTTTGATGAAAATGAGCTGGAGGTTTGTATCGTAAACGTTATTTTGTGCAAAGCAGATTTTTAAAAAGTATCTCTCATTACTCTGCAAATGATATTTTAGCATTCTCTGACTCATAATGTCACACTGAGCAAGTTTAGATGGATTATGTGTTTTATTTGGAGTTTATTTTCTGATTTGGAAGTGAGGCATAGCAAAAGCAGTCACCCCAAGATTCCCTGGACATTCGAAGGCAATTAGGTAGGCCCGCTGAGCCACCATCCAGGTTTTGGCATGAAAACAATGGCTTCACGGCCTGTGCATGAGTGGAGGAGAGTGGCTGCTTCTGTTGGGCTGAGGTTGTGGCAGCTCCCTGTTTGCAAGAGCAGGCAGCCCAGGACCCTGCTGCACTCTGCCTCCACTAGGACAAGCCAGTGGCACACTTGGAGGCTGCGGAACAGATGCTCGTTGGACCTGAAGTGGTTTGTGTTGACTAAGGAAAAAGATCAGAAGGCAGCAAGGCAGCAGCAGAAGGTGTGCACCTCAGCTTCTTGGTATTGGTGTAGATGAAAAATTGCAACATGAAAACTAAAGGAACACTCTGTGGTATCAAGACAAACAGGAAAAGGAAGGAGCCTGTGCCTGCTGACAAGCTGGTGGCAGTACTTGGCCGTTTGTCCAGGCCACATGCAGTAGACCATTTCTCATAGACTGGGCTTCTGTATTTTCACCTTAAAGAGGGCACTGCAAGACAGATCATGACATAGAAATCAGGCACTGTAATCCCTGTGTTTTACAGATGGAGTCGCTGAGGCAGCCTCATGAGTTGACTCCACACAGCTCTTGCTAGTTAGGCCTAGGAACCCTGTTTTCAGGCTCCGGATGTAGTTCTTCTGTTTTATTCCATTCCCTGTGTAAGAGTGTCATACTCCTTTGTCCACAGGAAACCTTCTCTACTGGAGAGTTACATACTAAGAAAAGTAAACCTTAGACTACATAATTCAAGGAGCCCATTGCTATGTTAGTACAGGTCTGCAGTCCACAGGTCTCTGGAAGAATGAAGTGTTGTCACCTGAGCTGAACCAACTGGGGGAGATAAGTTCTTGCTGTCATAAGTAGTAATTCCCGTGTAGGTAGACAAAGTCTTTGATATTTAAATAAAATCACTCTCAGGGGAAACAAAGGTACCATGCACATGCTAAGAGATTGTAAACACGTCCATGAACACCGCGCCTAGGAAGATGACTGATCCAGAGTTTCTGTTTCCAATATGAAATGTCGTGGTCTTTTACAGTGGTTAGAATTAAATCACCCTCACATTTCTGTGGTCCAATCTGGCAGGAAGTATTTGGGACACATGTCCTCGGTCATTGGTGTTCATGAATTGCTGACTTAACTCCTTTGCAGAATGACAAAATGCTGACTTTGAGGAAAGCTTATTTCTCACTGTGTGATTTCTCTGGCTTTCATGTCCTACCTCCTTTATATCTGGTAAATTTCCTTCATAGTTGCTGATGTGCGGCCTTGGTGACGTTGATGTGAATGACTGGAGACAGCATTCTATTTACAAGAATGGCTACTGCCCGAATCACCCCGTCATTCAGTGGTTCTGGAAGGTAACTCCAGCACCTCCAGCCCAGCCCCAGCGTCAGGCTCCTCCCCTAAGTCAGGGCCAGGGCTTTGCAGTGCCTTCATCCACCTCGCTTTGGGACTGATGCTGGAAATTGGGGCCTGAGGGAGAGGGAAGAGAGAAACCAAGCCTCAGCAGTTTTCTTTAACTGCGTTGCCCAATGAGACTTGAGCAAGGTTGATCCTGACCTAAGTGCTTGATCCATCCTTGACCACCTGGTTCAAGTGGCTTTCATTTGCAGAACCCATTGAAAAAGATGATTCTCAAAAAGGAGTTTATTGGCTTCCAGAGTACTGGAACTAGGCCTCCAGCGTGGAAATCAGAGTGGGAGCTTTTTCAGCGTATAAACATTCTCTTCGGCTGGCTTTCCCAAGATGCCATATTCTGTAGAGAAATAAATTCCTCAATTTTTTTAATTCCAAAAACCATTTTGATCCTTGTATGTCTTATCCAAAGATGCGAACAAAACATGATTTGCAGTCTTAGGGCCAATGTTTGCATTCTGTTCATCTTGGAAGGGAAGGGAAACCGGAATGGACGGGTCCAAGGGAGAGATAGTAAACCAACTGAAAAAATGGCTAACTCAGCCCACCAAAAAAAGGCTGATTATTTAGTACAAGGAAAGAAATCATCTCACTTGTTTGAATTTCTGAATGTCTGTTATTAGTTTTTCAAGTGCCAGGAGACTTACAGATGGAGAAGAAAGCAGAATCTCCAAATCCTAGACCAAGTCTCACTCAGCTTTGATTTTAGATATTTCTTATAGCAGTTTAAATAATATTCCCAGTAAAGCCAATTCAATTCCTGTAATAACTCAGATATGTTAGGCATACAGAGTGTTTTAGAGAGCTGTTTGTGCTACTGTTTTTCCTTCTTTTGATAAAGCATTATCTTTAGGGGACTTGCAGTCTGAAATCCTGTCTCCTCACTGGGTTCCCCTTGTGTAGACCCGTCTGGATCACTGTGTAGTTATAATTGGTTTGGGGGTAGCTGAAAAGCCTCAAGTACAGAAGTCTGAGCTCAGTGCCATCCGGGGCTTGCTTTTTGTATCGTTTATTTCGGCCTGTTGGCAGAAGAAGAAAACATCGGATGATCACTCACTAAGATTAGAGAGGCTGGGATTGTGATGGCAATGAAAAATAATAAAAAGACTGTGTTCTGTCTAGATCTTCTTGCATGACAGTATACGTCAGGTTAAGTTCTCCTGCCTGCCTTACGGCAGCATGTGCCCTGTGTCAGCCGAAGACATAACGACTCTCTACCTCTGTTGCACAGGCTGTGCTGTTGATGGACGCCGAGAAGCGGATCCGGTTACTGCAGTTTGTCACGGGGACGTCCCGGGTACCCATGAATGGATTCGCTGAACTTTATGGTGAGCAGCACGCATCAGACTCCGCTGTCCGCCAGTGAGGATCTGGCCAGGTCTCCCCTGTGGCCCAAGAATACTGTGCCCCCAGGCCTCTGCACAGCCTCTGCAGGGAGCCTCTGCAGGCCAGTGTGCTTGCATTAAGTTTAAGAGTTCCCACATAAACATATAACAGGGGCTTCTGCATGCAGAGATGGGTGGGATTTTGTGTGGAGAACCATAAGGTTGGTCTTCTCTTTTTTATTTTCTTTTTTTTTGCTAGTTTAGTGTTTCGTTATATGTTTAACACTAGGTCTCCCGGGCTCACCTGTGTTGTCCTTTAAAGGACACCTGACCCCCAGGAAGCACAATTCTTCATTGCTTACTATAGATTAACCACTGTGTCTGCTCGGTTTATTGAAACTTTTGTTTTATTCCTTTCCCCGGAAGTAGTTTTAGGTATAACTCTGCAGGGCCCAGTGGAAGGGCCGCAGCTGCCTGGGTGTGGGATTGGGTCCCACTGGGGCACCTCATCCCGAGGGCAGCCAGACCCTGTGTGTAAGCTTATGCGGACCATGTGCCTCCCAACATGAAATACTGCATCACAGCAAGGACTCACTGGGCAAGCCCTGCCCTGGCAGTGGGCACTGTTCTGCTCTCTCCCCTTTTCTTTAAGTCTTGCTACGGCTTTGTCCTGCCACCTCAAGCCCTGTTAATATGTCTTTGTCTTTTCTGTCCAGGTTCCAATGGTCCTCAGCTGTTTACAATAGAGCAGTGGGGCAGCCCTGAAAAACTGCCCAGAGCTCACACATGGTGAGTGACAAAACACTTTGGTGTCAGACCCCAGTATCTTAGATACTCAGCCTTATGTGATACCGGCCTTCAAGTACAGAGTGCTACACTTCCTGTCCATAAATAGCTCAGAGGGTGAAAAACCCGTGCAGATGAGGACATGAACTGTATGGTAAAGGCTAACAAAACTTCAATTCAATCTGAATGGAGCCAGCATGTTTGCACATAAGAGCTAAAGCCCCACACTGTCAGGCAGTCCTCCAAGCCCTGCCTTCCCTGATTGCTCTAGCGAGCAGAGACTTCACCACTTAGCCCTTGTGGGCATGGCAGCTCCCAGCCTCTCAAAAGAGTTGGATTTTTTTTCCCACCTTAAATTGGTGGTTTAGAGTTTAGAATAAAATTCTCTATAGAAGCATCAATTTTAAAATGCCTTGCATGCCTGTGAATAACCCATAGTTCCCTGGAATTTAGTGCTAATGTGATTATAACCAGAGGAGTATAGAGGTCTGTAGGTGACACATGGCCTGAGACAGCAAAGTATAGGGGTTCAGCACCCTCAAAAGGCCCCTGGGTGGAAGCTCGTAGAGGAAGGAAGCCTCAGATCTTCCTTTGAAGAGATACAGGACACCAAGCATGGAACAGTCCTGCCTCAAGTTTTTAAAAGCAGTGCTTTGCTAATCCAAACTCTCGGTTGGTTTGCTCCTGGGGTGTGTGGGAGGGGGCTTTTCCATCCTGCTCCTGAGTAGCAGTGGGGTGGGTCTCCTGAACAGCGTGAGCGCCACAGCCCTGGCTTTCCCACCAGCAAGGAGGGCTCAGGAATCCTGCGCTGACCGTGCTGAGCTGACACAGGCAACCCACAGCTGCTTGCCACGGGAGACACCCCTGCTACAGAAGGGGGAGCAGGGAGAAATTCTCATGAAAACGCCTTTGTGAGAAGTTGGCTCTGAAAGGTTCTTTGCTTCCATGGGATCCCCTTGCCTCACCAGAAAGAAAGGGTTTTTCCATTCATGCCATTCACATGACTCTGAATGGAATGAATATGGTTATTGCCTGTCGGGCCTTAAAAGCCAAAAATGGGTGAATATCCAGAACAGTCATTACCCGTGTTACCCGCTTCTATTCTAGGAGGAGAATGTTTTGGTTGTTTGGAGCTTTTATTTCAGCCAGTGTCAGAGTCTAGTATGGTCTTCTGGGCTGTGACAGCCTCAGTTTGAAAGACAGCCAGCACCACACTGAGCCCAGGGCTGTGGGTGTCCGTGCAGAACTCCCAGGCTCAGCCTTCAAGCTGGGGAGAGTTGATGAGAGCTCCTGAGTTAGCTGACATGGTCGTCTTCTGTGGGCCAGCCACTGTTTCATCTTACGATACACTGTGATTGCGCCCCTGGACTGTGAGAACACTCGCCTGGGAGCACAAAGTTCACAGATTCCCCGATCAGGGGATTTGAACTCTGCCAGAAATAGTCTGCTCCCTTCGCCACTGCACCCAATAGATGCCTCTGTCCCTGCAGCCCGCTCTTCACGCTCTTCAAAGAGAACCAGCCTGGTTCAGCCCACATCCCTCTGTGGTCCTGTGAACCGATACCTTACTGTTGAACTTTTCTTCAGTTTTGGAACCCACATGCTTCACCATGACTAGGACACGGTGCTGCTCTGAGGAATCCTGAAATCAGTAGTTCTTGACCGTGGCTATCTGCAGAAAGCTTTTAAAAACCCTCATGCCAGAGTTCTGCCCCCCAGAGATGTGGACTTAGTTGGTATGGCCTGAAAGCAGTAGGATTTTCAAAGGAAAGAAGATTTTCAAAGATTTTTGAAAGTAGACCTAAGTGGCAGGCATAGTGGCACACACCTGTAATCCCAGCACTCAGAAGGCTGAGGCAGGAGGATCACTGTGAGTTTGAGGCCAGCCAGAACTGCATAGTGAAACCCTGTCTCAAAAAATAAAACAAAAGAAAAACAAGTACTAGACCTAGGAAGGGAAAAAGAGCAAACTGACTCTTCCCAAAGCTTCTATTCCTGTCTCTGTGTCACAGAAATAAAGCAGTCAGCTCTTCCTAATGGCGTTCCCTCAGACTGAACTGCCATCCCTGAGGGAATGTGTCACAAGCACCCTGACCCTCATGGACAGGGCTGTTGTTTCTTCTCTTCTGCGTGGCTTGTCTCCTAGCGAGGACCAATTGTATTGTGATACAGAAATGGGATCTTCGTGTCCACTCCTCTGCGACAGTTTCAAGTGACCCTCAGCCATGAGATGGTTAATCTCCTCCGTGATCTACAAGAATGTTAAAATGCACAATTAAGCTTCAGACTAAGAATTAGCTTTGTTAGAAGAGCAGAAGCCAAATATCTGGCTTTCTTTAGGGTCTTTAGATGTAACCACTGGGTGTGTGATTACCTGTAAGCTGTAGTTCATTGTTCTGGAAAAGTCAGCATCAATGTGCTCTCACTAGGAATCCCAGGTCCACTTGCTGTACTAATAATTTCAGCTCACACACCTTTCACATGAGAGGGCCAGAGCCCTCTGAGGGCAGTGGCCTGCTCAGGATCATAGAGTTTGTCAGGGGTGGAGTAAAGCCAGTTCCCTCAGAAGTAACAATGACAAGCACTTCCTGAGTACCTGTTCCATTCCAGACATTGTCCAGGCATTGATATGACTGACTCATAGTTGTCACAATTCTAAGAGTTAGGTTATCTGATAGCCCCATTTCTACAGATAAGAAAACTGAGGCCCAGACCCTCCGTAACACAATTCAGACCTCAGATCTTAACCTCCCCATTCACCTTTTCTCTCCTTTGAGAAAAAAACATTCCCTCTTGTGTCATGTGTAGCCCTCTTTTTAAGGGGTCTTCAGACCCTGCAGGAATTGCAGGCCCTGGAATGTGAGCCTCTGACTTGTAAGGCAGAAGCCACCTTCTCCCAAAAGTCAGTGAGCGCAATTTTGCTCTTAGATCGTTATCAATACAAAAAAACAGAAAATTAAAAATTTCTTTTGGGACTCTCAGGATTGCAGATCTAGGATTTTGAGAACCACTATTTGAGAAGCACACCCCGGCTTTTCATGTTACTGGCTCTTGGGAAGTCTGCAAGGAGCTCAGTGCGACTTGTAACACATTTTAGGGGTTGTTACGGCCCCAGCATGGAGGTGTGTTTTTTTCTTATAAATGGCCAGCTTTTAAAACAGGAGTTACTGTTCTGCTCATACCCGGAGTCTCGTGTCAGCCCCTGGGAGGGGGACTGTCTCAAACCCAAATGGTGTGGGTGAAGCAAACGGTTGCCTCCACTCAGTTATCCTCTGCTGAATGACCACAAGCCGTGGCAGGTGTCTGCGGCCCGTCAGCAGTGCCCCTCCGACACTGACTGTAGACATTTGGTGAATGTTGAATGAGTAACACCGCTGATCACCGTCCTTTGAGCACTCGCTGTGTGCCAGGCCCACTTTATCTGTATTGATTTTCTGAGACTCCTGATTGCTCAGCACCCCTGTGAGCAATCTCCCCGTTTTCACAGATGAGCCAGCCTTCAGGGACTTGCCCAAGGTTACACAGCTGGCAAGTGGCAGAACCAGAACATGAACTTGGCTTGATTGCCTGCCGAGGCCATCCGTTTGTATGAAGCCCTCACTTCACCTGTGTGACTTCAGCCCCCACCCCCATCTGAAGCCTCCTGAGATACCAGAGCTTTCCCATAAACGCAGCTCTTCACACCAGATGGTGCTGGCTTGCGGGAAGCGGCTTAGCATTGACATTCTAGAACTCCAGGCAGCTGGGGTCTGCAGTGTTCCTAGGCATGGGATTCCTGGCACCTTGAGTTTGCCTCTCTAACTCAGGACCTATATCTGCATGACGGAGGTGACCTTAACCTGCTTCATAGGCTAGTGACAAAATGAAGTTCATTCTGAGAAGAGCACTGGGCTCAGGCCCAGTGAAGAATAAGTGACAGCATTGAAAACAGGCACATCCCAACTCCTGCCTAACTCCTGCGCGTTGTGCTCCAGGACTGGAACTCTCCGTGTGGGCATGTGTCATCAGCTTGCTTGCCTGTCTCCTTCCCACCAGGCTCCTTCTAGAATCCACATCTGGGCATAGCAGAGGTTTCAGGGACTATTGGAAAGCTGGTTTTCTCTCCTCTGTGGGGTATATACCCTGTTTGGCACAGACAGTTTCACAGCTAGAATTTATTTCTTGGTACTCAAAATTGTGGCAAAGGCTTTTCATTCCTTGTTCAAATACCAAACGCCCCATTAGCCACATCTAGGAAGTGCTGTGTGACCGAAGGGTCAGAGTGGTAACCTTTTACCTACTCTCTTCTGTTAATTTTGCAGCTTTAATCGCCTTGACTTACCTCCATATGAAACCTTCGAAGATTTACGAGAGAAACTTCTCATGGCCGTGGAAAATGCCCAAGGATTTGAGGGGGTGGATTAAGGCCTCCTTCCTCGGGGCCACTGACCATCCAGCAAGCTCCACGTGCTCTCTTGCATTTGCCTGACAGACTTTGCAGAGCCGGTGGCGGGCACCACTGTGCAGCATGGCTCCCTGAGCCCGGCCTCCGTGCCTGCCGTGCCCACCTCCAGACCCGGGAACCCGGTCCCAGCTGAATTCCCGCTCCTCACCACGAATTCTCAACTGGTTGATGTGTACACTAATTACATTTCAGGAAGACTTGTTCTATTTATGTTGTGCCTCTGCAGGCAAAGCCCTTAATAAATATTTTGCATACTTTCTAATGACAGTGAATGGAATTAATCACTCTACAGGTATAGTATTACAATTCATGTTTACTTTTTAAAATGATTTAGACTGATTTTCAGATTTTATTTCATTACAATTAAAGATGTCTCATGTACTTGGTAAAGTGAGCATATTTTTTTTTGTATTTGAATTTCATACCAGGCTTAATGTCAATGACATTTTTATTTTTGAAGTACTTTGACACACTGCCCCTCTACTTTATTAGAATTAGAAATTAATTTTTGTCCAAAAACCTTCTACAGAGAAGAACTTGGAGAGACTTTCAAATATAACATTAGGTATAATGATAATTTTTTTTCCATACTCAGAATGAAAATAAACTGGACATTACTTTTTTTGTACAAATTTAGATACTAGCTACAGGCCGAGAGAATTGTAACATAGCATGACATATTTGTGTTAACTTGAAAGGAATCACACCATTATTCCTTAGAAGTAATTACGTGTGCTATAACACATTTGAGACGGGTAGGCTATCACTTCTCATGAGAGAAATTATTAACCCTTCCTGTTGCTGTACAGCCACCCTTTTATTATGTCTCCCTTTTGCTGTTTGTAGTAGAGACATTTTGAATGAATCTTGGCACTGCTTGGCGCAAAACTGTGGAAGCCAGATCCCCGTCAGTCTCCTTTTAGTGCATTCGCTAATCGTAGCTAAATAACCAGTTCTTGCTCTAACTGCACCAGTTCCCGAAGGCACTTTATGTACCACATGGAGGTCATACCTGGTTTTGTTTTTGTTCATTTTTTAATCATAAACATTAAATGTGATGATTATTTCTTCTCCCTGCACACATCTTTCTGGTGCAATATCTATCAGTTGTGAATCTGGCTGCTGGTGTATAAAATCCTGAATGTAAAGCTGAGCCTATAGACCTGTCCTTTCAATTGTTTTGTGATTTCTACTCAACTACAAAGATTTATTTAATATACACTTAATCTAACCAACTTCTGTTACCTAGGACCTGTTGCATGCTTCAATACCGTGTACTGCCTGAGTCGTGTCTCTTGTATGCTAGATTAAAAGTGAGAAAGAAGACTTGCCTTGATTCCCGAGGTCACGCTGTGGTGGTGGTGGACTGAGGGTCTCTGTGCAGTTCGGTTCTTTCCCACCCTAAGTCTGTGTTGCAGAATTCTGTCGTGTTCTGAGAAGATGCCTGAGGCAGTGTGGGAGTTTAGTAACCCTGCTGTCCTGTTTCGCTTGTGTTGCTGTAGAACCTCTTGTGCTAAGTTAGGGGATGCTGGAGAGTGGGTCTCCTGCCAGTCATAGATAAGACAAAAATTGGTGGTTCCGAGTCTCTGTTGTGTAAGAAGAACTTTGGTGTAAGAAATCAGTCGTATTTGTGCAGTTCTGGGCGGCATGTGGGACAGCGTGGACACTTGTGGTTGTAAGCCAGTTGTCTGAGGGAGTACAGAACCCTGAAGTTCTAGAGGAAGGTGACTTGCTACAGGGCTGGGTTTTGGCTCCCTTTTCATGTTGTTTAAAGATACTTAGTAGTGATCAGAAAGCTTGGATGTTAAGTAATGATTTTTAAAATGTTTATTATTTTTGGTTTTTTGGTGGAATTTTTTTTTTTTTACCCCCGACAGTTAACAAATGTCTCAGTGGCAAAAAAAATCCTTTCTTTTTGTAATTTTAATACCCCAGAGTCAGTTATCTTGTAAAAAAAAAAATCATGCCAAAGCCTAAATTGAGAAGCATGCTTTGCTGCTTTTTGAGCAAGACCGTGTAATTTATAGGAGGAGAAATCTGATTCTTGTGTAATAACTGAGATTCTTCTGTCGTTTTGTAAGTTGTATGTTAAAAAATCAGAGTATTCTCTAAATGCAAATTAGACTTGAGTGTTGAAAATACAAAAAAACTATTCAGATCATTTTAAAATCAGGAATGTATAAGAATCATCAACATATACCCTGATGAATACTTAAAAGGGAGTAATTGTGAGTGACACTTCACCTTTTCTAGCCTTTAAGTTACCCTCTGGTTTTAATACAACTAAATATTGCTGGATTTGGGGTTTAGTTTTTAAAAAAAAAAAAAAACATCAACATGTCGCTGTTCCTCAACTATTTACAGAGTTTCACTCTTTGCCTAGAATGATTCTATATCTTCTTGTCTAAATTTTAATGCCGCTCTTGGTGATTTTCATGACTTAACTACACGTGGTGGAAGAGAAAATGCACTGCCCAAGGAACAAATTGCTGGGTCGTAGCTGGGTCCTCCCATCTGGCAGGCTGGCCTGGGGAAGGAGGGCAGTGCTGTCTATCCTACTTGTCCCAGCAGCCAGGCTGCTCGGCACACCAAGGTCTCTGCTTGTCATCCCTAAGCCATAGAGATCACTGTAGTCCCGTTTCTGTGGTTCCCTGCCAAAGCTGTAGTTGTCACAGTCCTTCACAGAAAGCTGAGTGAATGCCAGTGTGCACCCTGTATGTGGAAGGACCTAGAGCATCACATGGCTGCTGTGGATTCTGGGGTGTTTCTGTTCTTGTCCCAGTTGGTCTGAGGGTAAATCTGGAAAGTCTTTCCGGCAGGATTAGCTCAGACTGAGTGCTGGTGTGTTCAGTTCCCTTGTGCACTTACCTTGTGCACATTTCCTTTCCTGTAGCCAGTCCTCTGAAAATTAAGGATGGGAGATACTTTGTTTCTAAGGCCCATTCATAGTTGACATCAGATATTTCCTAAATTCATATGGCAAATGATAGAAAGCAACTTGACATGCATTATTCCTCCCATTTAGGGACCCAGTAGCACATTCTGAGAAGCAATTTGCAAAACATTTGAGCCGCTTTCTGCACCTCACCTTGTTGCATGGACGGCATGCACTGTACCATTGTTCTTTGATCTTGCCAGATCCCAGTTGCCTCTGTTAAAAGTCAAGTTCGTATGCAGTAACGTTCTAACTGTTGTAATAATTAACAGTTTGGTTTGGGTTTTTTTGTTTTGGGTTGTTTTTTTTTTTTTTTGCCAGTTGACTCCTGTATTTTCCTAATAGTCTCACATTTCACATGTGAGATTTTAAAGTCTGCACAGAGAGCCTGAGGTCATCAGCTCCCCAGCCCCTCCCCACTGTGCCAGCTCTCCTCTTACTGTCCTCTCCCTTCACCCTGTCTCTTCACCCCTGTGGCCAGGAGAGCAAGGGAGATGCTGTCTGGTGTTATTTTCTGCCTTGCCAGCAGGGATGCCCTGACTCCCAGAAGCACTTGCGCTACCTCTGTCCTGTTCAGGCATTGGGGTACACATCCTAAGTCATGTCAAAACTGCCATTTTCAGGCCTGAGATATGTTAAAAGACAAAAACTTACTCTACTTCGTAGTCTAGATTTTAAAACTGGGAAGAAAATGTGATATACTTTGGACCACTTTTTTAATTTATATAAGCCTTAATGAACAGTATATATACACTTACATATGCACACTCCACTCCAGAATATTTTCAATGTGTCAGAGAAAATGCTGTAGCATTAGGACATGAGCCTGTGTTAATGTTTTCTAGGGAAGGAATAGCTTTCTGTCTGTTTGAAATTTTCCAAGGAAACCTCTCACTTGACATCTGTCCTTTGTCAAAGATGTCACACTCAACGCAATGCATGTTTAAAGTGCATGTCTCCGTGTTAGCTTTGTTTGTAAGGGGTAGCAACAGGAATCTAAGGACAGCACTGTTGATGCCTGACCTCTAGTGTACTGCATTCTCCACCAAGTATCAGTACATTGAAAGCCTTTTCCATGACCAGGACTTTCATCAACAGATGTCCATGTTCCTTTGTAAGCCCATCCCTTGTACTCAGACTGATTTCACCTAGATTGTCACAGTTTCCTTCATGTTAACTTTGCGTGACTTTGTTCTTCCTTTACTACTCTCTATGTAACATATATACATATATATGTGCATATGCTGTCCCAATATACATGTATATATTTGTATAGCATTTTTACACCTCTGTGAGTAATCTGGTTTCAAAAGGGAGTGAGAGCTTTGTCCCTTCTACAGTTTTATCCAAGCTGTGTCCTGAGGATTCTCACCCTCAGAGCCTGAGAGAACCCTAGGAAGATGTTCATTTGTTGTCATTTCTTAATTTGGGATCTGTTATCAAATGAAACATGAACAAAACGGTGACTTGTAAGGTGAAAAGAGTTTCAAGCATTCCAAATAAATTCTCGCTGTTTCGTAACTTTTTATTGTAAACCCACCTCCTAATACAAAGCCAAGTACTATTTGATACAGTGATCAAAACCAAACTACCTTGATGTTTTTTTAAGACAACTTATGGATAATGCTCATTTTCACAATCAGAATAGCTTTAAAATATGGTTGAATTTGATACACACAGGAAAAGTTTTGTTTAAGAACAAGTCTTTTTTTGCTTTTCTTCTTGAAAGCTCTACAGAAAAATTGTAGTTTGTTTTTCTGACAGCAAAAGAGTAATGTGACAAAATGAAGTCATTGTAAAGAAGTGATGCAACTTGTCAAATATTTAATAAAGAATTATGGAAGCTGGAACATTTTCTACATCAAGTGTTATGGATTGTCTGATTTAAAGCTTCTTTCATGAATTCATTGTCTTGTGTCAAAGAGACTGAAATGCCTGCAGATTTATAAGGTGTTCATTTCCTCAATCTCAGCTGAAAGTTCGATGCCCTTAGAAATAGCCTGCCCTAGGACACATGGCTTAACCGTAATAAGAGGATACACATTTGTTCTTATCCATCTGCCGATTTGTCTTTTAATTGAGCTTGAGAATTGCTGGTTTTCTGTAATACCAGATAATCCATATTGGTCCATTCCTGGAAAGGCAGACTTTCCCTCCGGTTCTTAGCCAGCCAGCCTTGAACTTGTGGGAGAGTTAATGGGACTCAGTAATGAACCCACAGTGTTTCTCAAAATTATGTTCAGAATCTCAGCCTTATGGCAGTTCTCCATTAAAACTTGGTGGCATTTTTTTCAAATGCCAAGTCATTCCAGCCAGATGGGCTCCTGGCAAGTTTTCCCTTTTTCATTAGCGCTGAGCCTCTTTTCCGTATCCTTAGTCCACCTCCTCAGGGACTGCCAGCCAGTAACGTCCCTGCGGGACACAGTGTGGTCAGTCCTTGCTTTCTTGCGTCTTTCCTGAGCAGTCAGTGATCTTGCCAGAAAGCTCTCAGCGGCACCTAGTGCTCCTGCCATCTTGCCCCAGCTTACAAGGACATAATATGGGAGGGCCAGACGGACAGAGCCACTCTGGAGTCCCATGTGTTCATGCTTAGCAACAACTACAAATGCTAGGTTGAGAAGCTCTTCATCTACTCGGATGTCCAAGAGTGATGTGGGCCCTTCCAAAATTTTAAAGCCTCTGGAAAGCGTCAGCAACGAACATGGGTGTCCCCAAATTCTAGGACTAGCTTTCCTAGGCCGTGAGGAACAGCTTTCAAAGAAGTCGCAGGGGTGAGAGCCCAAAAACCACATTCTGATGCCTTTGCTGCTCTCGCCTGTGAGAGAACACTTCTGAGACAATGGGTTTTCAGAGAGCTGGGACCACAGCTTCTTGCTTTACATGGTTTGAATTGGGCAGAGAGGGAATTGAGCCTGAGTTTGCTAACATCCTAGCATAGACTCCTTAAATAGATGGTAGGACTTGGCTGCAAACTGCTAAGGACTGAGGAAGGCGAGAACAGAGAGTCCCTCTTGGGCAGTTTGTAATGCTGGCCTCAGACAGGATTCAGGAGAAAGGTGGATTTGCCCCACTGCTGCTTGCCCAGGGCCTTTGCAGTGCCCCTGCCCCCAAACTGCCGCACCCTTCCCAGCCACCACCCCGCACTGCTGTTAACACCTGCTTCCCTTTCCCCTACAAATGCCAGGCTGGTCCTGGGTGTGGTCCCAGTGGGCTGCAAGTAACAGGAGGGGGAGTGTGACCGGTGACAAGGTAGGTGAAAAGTACCTCCCCCCTCAGCAGAGCGCCTCTCACTCCCTCGGGGCTGCTGGGCACAATCCAAGCTCCCCATCCAGGTGTGCGTGGCCCTCTGCTCTGCAGTTCTGAGCCCGCTGCAGTGCTGCCTTCTGACACTGTGGAACAGAGGGGCTGGAAGAGCTGGCGGGGACTGTGTTTCCTCCCAAGCGTTGGCAACACCGCACCCTATTACTGAAGGGAAACCTCTTTTCCTCCCCGAGAAAAGGGCTTGATTTGCCAGTTAGTTGGAAAGGGGTGTTTGGGGGTTACAGTACACACACTACCAAGCGAGCTGAGCAGACAGTCTTACTGAGTGACACTTAAATGTGTGACATAGAGTGGCACACCTCCAGTAACCTGGCAGAAGGGCACCCTGGCAGCCCTACGATCAGACTCTTCAGCCAAATCTGTGATTAAAAGCAAATTGGGGCGATTTCTCAGCAACACCTTTTCTTGGGAGTTTTAGATAGTCACCAGATCAGGAAGCTTGCAGTCCTGGTTGGTTTGGTCCAAACCAAATGCCAAAGCAAGCCAGAGGTAAGAGGTTGTGTCCTCCAACATATTGGACTCAGCAAACTCGAATCCTGTGATTGCAGAATATGTGACCCAGACGGACCGGGCCTTGCCTTGTCCACGGCTCTCATTTTGCACCTGAGTCCTGGGCTCCTGCCCATAGTCTCTGCGTGTGACCAATACCTTGGGCCTGGGGGACCAGGTTTCCAGTCCAGAAACAAGGATAGGTTCTAGTTTGTGTCCTTAGGGACTGCTGGGACAGCTTTGCCCTCCCAAATGCAGATCTGGAACAGCCACAACTGTGGGTATTTCTCTAAACGGGGAAAGGAGACAGCCCAACCAGACTTGGACGGGACAACCCTAGGCTCCAGGCCAAGGCAGGGTGTAGTTGGTTCTCTTGGAGGGAAGAGGCCGAGAATCCCCCAGGGCAAGTGCTGGGTCAACTTGCTCGTACCCACCCTGGCAACCCCTCAGCTCCAGGGCTCTTATAGAGGTGGGCACAGGTACTTGGCCCCAGGACCATTTTTGGAGCCCAAACCATTTCTGCAGCACATCCAGCAGAAGCATTGCATCAGACATCTGCAGAAAATTGTCTGTTGTTACAGCTCAAGTCCATTGGCCAGTGTAACTCCCCTGCTCTCTCTACGTTTCTCCTTTTCTTTCTCCAAAGTTCAGTGAAGGCATCAAGCTGGAGTGAAACCTCCAAAAGCTGGAGTGAGGAAACCGTGGGGATGGGGGCTCCCCCACCCAGCACCTGCTGTGTGTGTTGTATGAACAGCGAACTGCAGGGTTTAGAGCTGCAGGACGCTGTCCAGGAGGCTAAAGCAAGCCTGTGCTGCAGGGACATGGAGCCCAGTGCCCACTGACACCGATGTAGATGGGCACAGGTGTGGCACCTTCACTGCCCTGTCCTCGTCTCCTGTGTACCAGGCCCTGTTCCCAAGCAGGATAAAAGGCTTCAATAGTTGTCTCTTCCAGTGTAATTTTATCTCTTGGTTTAAAATTGTCTTTGGGGGATAAATAGTGTATAGATCAAATGCCCCATTGAGACCCTTTCCCACAGAGGGCTCTGGTGAGTGCTAGGGGCACAAGTACGGTGGTCTCCCTCTGCAGGTCCTGGGTGTTTTCTCTGTCCCCTGTGTGGGCTTTCAAGTGCCGCATGCCACTCTCCAGGGACCTTGTGACTGGCCTCACCTGCCCATCCTCTGCCTAGGATGCTCCCTGGAGCCTCTGCACCATCGGCCCATGCCAGGCTCCTCGGCCTCTTCTGAGTCTCCCAAGGCCCTGCTGCTATGTGCTCCTCCCAGCACCCGCCAAATCCCCAGGGGGACATGGGACACGGGCTCTGCTGCTCCCATGAGGGGAGAGGGGCCTGCTCCCTCTTTGATGTTTCTCCCCTCTGTCAAGGCCCACAGTGGTGAGACACAGGGCCTCAGAGATAGCAAAGCCCCTGACCTGAGCTCAGACCACCGAGCTGCCATTCTTCCCTCCACTGCCACTTCCTTCCAGTTTCTCTCTGCTTAGAATTCCTTTGAGGGGTGAAACTCTGTAACCTGAACCAACTAGATTTAGCTCTTGATGTGGAAAGAAAAGATTTTAGAATCGACAAAAGTTGCACGTCCCTCAGCAAATCCTGCTATTCAATGCCAATTACTTCCTCAAGACTACAGAGGGTCAGTTTTGAGTCCCAGAACACGATTCCCTCCCCAAACGCTTCTAACATTTTATTAAGAAAATTTGCAAACAAAAGTTGAGAAAGACTAAGTGAACACCTTTGTCTACCGCCTACATTCCAGCCTATTAACATTAGTTTTACTCTGCTTGCCTTATCAGATATCTGCCATCTCTCCACTCTTAATCCCTCCTAATTATTGAAACATGGCAAAATAAATTGCAGGCATCATGTACTACTCCCAATACTTCAGCATTCGTATCATTGGGTAGACTCTTATTTAGATTGTTTTCCTTTGAGGTAAAATTCATGCACAAGAAAATACACACATCTTAAGTGCACGATCACTGAAGTTGGTATACACATACACCTGTGTAGCCCAAATTGCCATTCAAGTTCTATTATGCCTCCTCCAAGTCAGTCCACATATCCCAGATCTGTCCTAAATTTTTCCATACATAGTAGTTTTGCCTGTCCTACCCTTCCATATGGAACCATGCAATTTGTTATAATGAATTTTTTAAATTCTACTTTGTATCTTTGCTACACTGAAGCAATAAAATTTAAGTCAGTGGATGGGAAGTCACAGGGCATTATAAATAGAGAAAAAACTGTCAGTTTAATATTCAAATAGTATCCCCATTTCACAGGTAACAGGATCTCCACTTTCCAATGTACATAAGCACCTTGTAGGATGTTTAAGCCTTGATGGTTTATATACAAGGGTCACCTTGAACTTGTAGGTTGACACCAGGTACATTTAGCAGCTGGTAACCAGTGCTTCCAGCCTGTGGAGGATGCTTTGGGCTATCTTCTAGGTCCCTGGCTCCTGGGCCGGTCCTCCTGCCTAACCCACCCTCCTTGAGCAGGATCCTGAGGAGGGAAGAAATTAAGAGAGCAAGTTAAAGCCGTAACCAGCAATTCCCAAATCACAGTGGCTTAGGAAAGGTGCATTTCCTGCCTTCTTCTGTGGATTAGAAGAGATTCTCTGCCCCATGCATTCCTTTAGGGAACCCAGCACCCTCCTGAATGATCCCACAATCCCCTGAGGTAGATTCTCTGTCAGCCACAGGTGGAGGAGGGAAGAAACGCCTGCCCACCTCCCCCAGCCAGAAGCCAACACCATGACCATACCACACTGCAGAGGATGCTGGGAAAAGGGAAGGAGTGTGAGCACAAGACAAACTGCCATTAGGAAAGATCTGATCTTCACCTCAACATGCCTTTGCAAAGTGATTTTCCTCTAAGGAGAATAGCTGCCATTTTGCCAAGCTTTCAGGGTCTTCAGCGCTCTGGAAGGAATCATGTGTTTTGTCTATCAGTCATTTACATCTCGGTGTAATGAGGCTATTGACTCTTTCCTCAGGAGGTTTGAAGGAGGGGATGGTGGTGGGGAAGTAGAGTCGG